TGGCACCCTGGCCCCAGCCCTGTCTCTGCCCCCGTCCCGCGGAGCACTATGCTTTCGTGGTGGTGGCGGTCATCGTCAGTCATCCCCTCTGCCCCCGGCCTATGGCCCCTGCCCCTTGCCCCGGAGCTTGATGTTTTCTTCGTGGTGGTGGTGGTGGTCGTCGTCGTCGTTCGTCCCCTCTCCCATGGCCTATCCCTGGTACTTGCCCCAGCAACCTGGCTCCCTCTGGCCCCCTGAGCTGTGTGTTTTCTTCGTGGTGGTGGTGGTGGTCGGCGTCGTTTGTCCCCTCTCCCATGGTCTATCCCTGGCACTGGCTCCAACTGCCTTGCTTCCTCTGGCAACTGAGCTGGATGTTTTCTTGGTGGTGGTGGTGGTGATGGTCGTCGCCGTTCGTCCCATGTCCTCTGGCCCACCCCTGGCCCTGGCCCCACACCTGCGCTCTCCCTGGATCTGGGGCAAGTTTCACGACGGTCGTTGAAAGTAGGTTTTTTTGAATTTCCAGATCCCGATCTACTTCAAGCGCCTTCCTACTTCAAGAATCGGCATGCTTTTGCTGTGTTTTGTTATTCTCGGGGTGGACCTGGACCCAATCCGCTATATCCGCCTTCCTACTTCATGCCTCTACCTACTTCTTCCGACCGACGCGTATTTTTGTGGTGGCGGTCGTCGTCGTTCGTCCCCTCCCCTCCGGCCTGCCCCTGGCCCTGGCCCCGGCCCGCTCGCGCCCCCCCGGCCCCAAACCCCGTTGCTTTCGTCACGGTGCTGGTGGTCGTCGTTTGCTCCCTCTCCCCTGGTCCACCGCTGGCCCTGGCCCCAGCCTCGCCGCCCCCCCTGCCCCTGGAGCTCCCTCCCCCATCTCTGATTAATTCAAGCTTCGCGCGTCCCGCTTAGCTTCGACCGGAAGAGGTGCGCTCTCGACCCGCGTATCAAAACTGTCCCTGGAGCTCGTTAAGTTCGTGGCCGTGGTCGTCGTGGTTCGCCCACCCCTGGCCGTGGCCCCCAATACCCTCGCTGCCTGATCGAGCAAGAGCCACGGCACGCGTGGCACCTGATGTCGGTGCCCAGCACAGAGAACAGGGAAATATTCAAAGACACTTCACTCGGTGCCTGCAGCACGGCAGCGGATGGACACGGGATCAGGGTATCTCGCCGGCGAGCAACAAGTGCCAGATCTAACCCAGGGTTCCGAAACATGGAGCTACGGTGGTGAGGCGCACACGTCTGTGGCCACGTGACACGAGTGCGCGGCCTCGCGGTGGGGTTGCCGGCACGGCTGGTCTGGCACAGGGGCGTCGCGGTCTGGGAGCGTGGGGAAGTGGTGCTGTGACAGAGGTACAGGTCGTGTACACCGCAGCGCGCAGCTGAGCACTGTGCTCGTGGTTCCGCTTTCGTTGTCTTCGTAGGCAAGAACTTCTCCGAGCCGGAGCGCAGGCGCAGGGGGCTGCAGGAAACATGGGAGCCGCATGCTGAGCTGGAGCTTTCCTCTCACGCCTGGCGACCGTGCATTTGATAGTGTAGCACCTGGACCGCTGTAGAGCCATCGAGGCACCACCAACTCGAGTTCGAGTGTGCCGGGACGGGGGAACGGAAAAGGGCGAGCACGCGCGACCCGATGAGATAGAGCGAAAGTGAGAGTCCACGCGCGAGGCGAAAACCGCGAGGCGAGGTGTCGGAGACGGAGCCAATCAGTGGCGTCGTCCGAAGGGAGGAGCGGTCAAGGAGGCCTTTTTTTCCACTCCCCTGTCATGGGGCCGCTCCATGCCCCAAGAGCCTTCAGGTACGTCGCGCCATTGCTGGATGCGAGACCTTTGCAGTGCGCTCCACAGACGGGAGCGAGGGGCCGACGGCTGGGCCAGAGCGCCGCGCAGACGGCAGAATGCAAGGGTGGGTCCAGCAAACTCGACGGCGTGACCCCGAGCACCGAGCACTACCAGGCCTTCCAGGGCCTCAGGGGGCAGAGGGTGGTCAGGCAGGAAACCGCACCCCGCGCAGACCAGGACTCCTCGCACCGCGAGCCTCCAGAGGCCCGAGCCCGCTCGCGGGGCGGAGGCCCCGCGGGGCGGCTGGGGGCAGGAGGCGCCCCGACACACTCCGCAGGTGGGGGGGTGGGCAGAAGCCGCGGCGCCTGCTGGCGCGGGCCTCCGGAAGCCCGAGCGCCTCCCCGATCGTCCCCATTCCGCCTGGCGCGGCTGGGGGCGTCGGAGGGGGCCGTCGGGCACGCCGGGCACCCTGCGCGCGGGCCAGCGTGGCCAGGCGGCGCGCCCGGAGCAGGTCCAGGCGCCCCTTCTGCGCCTCCTCCGCCCGCGGCCCCGCCCCCACAGCAGCCAGGGGGCCGCGCGAGGCCCGCGGGGCCCGAGGGCGGAGGCGCCTCGGCCCCCTCCAGGGCTCCACGTTGGCCTCGGGGAGGCGCCAGCCACGGTGGGGCCCTCGATGCCGGGGGCAGGCCCAGGGGCCTCATGGCCCGCCCCCGCCAACGGGCGGGCCAGAGGACGTCTCAGGCGGCACCCACCAGGCCAACCCCGGAGCCAGCGCCACCCGCATGCGCCGAAGAGGACGTCTCAGGCGAACAACCATCATGGCTCCAGAGCCGCCGCCTCGGCTGCGTTACGCGCGCGCGCGAAGCCTGAGGGCCCTAGCACCGCGGGCGGAGACGGCGTAAGCCGAGCAGCGACCCTAAGACCATTCATTGCCGCGCTTCCTCACTGCATAGCGAAGTCGGGCGCTCTCGGCCGCGGCGTCGGGCGGGCAGCAGGCTGTCCAGGGATAGCGGACGCAGCGGCGCCGCTCGGCTGCCCAGCGGCGCCGCAGGCCGGCGGCGCGCCGCCGCGGGGCTTTCCACGCGGTCCGCCTCCACCGCGCCCGCGAAGAGCAGCTTGGAAGCGTTGCCGATCCAGGAGGCCACCTGCCGCAGCCTGGCGAGGGCCCCTTTGTGCATCTCCACCGTGGCCTGAGGCAGGTCGTGTGGGCGCCGTCCGCGCTTGGCTGCCTGATCCGCCAGGTCGTTGCAGCGCCCCTCCCAGGAGCCCTCGCGCCGGAGGCCCCTCACGTGCGTGGCGCGCTGGGGCGGCGCACCACCAGGCTCCGGCTCCATCCCACCGTGCCCGTCGATCTGGCGGTGCAGCCTCTTCCAGAGCTCGACGTGCTCGCGCCGGGGCGCTGGTGCTCTGGCGCCGCCCGCGCGCTGGCCCGGTCAGCAGCGGCAGGTGGTCCGCGTGCTTGCAGAATGGGGCCGCGCCCGCAGCGAGCACCCGCGGCGCGGCATGCCAGCTCGGCGCGTCCAGCAGTCCGGCGAGGCCCAGGGTGATGGGCCCGTTTCCCACCACCACCACCATAAGTTTGGGGGGGAGCAGGAGGGCGAGGGGGAGGGGGAGGAGGAGGAGGAGGAGAAGGTTGAGGAAGGGGAGGAGGAGGAGGAGGAGGAGGAGGAGGAGGAGGAGGAGGACGAGGAGGAGGAGGAGGAGGAGGAGGAGAAGGACCGCCTCCGCCTCCAACTTATGGTGGTGGTGGTGGAAAGCAAGCCCATCACAGGGGGAGGCCCGAAGACGGCCCAACAGTATTGGCAGTCACCGGCCACCGCGTGACCCTGCCCAGCTCTGCGCCGCAGCGCCCGGGTGCCGAAGCTCCTTGCGCGAGCCGTGCGTGTGCGCCGTGACCGCGCTGATGCCAATGCTCCGAGCGTGCTTCACGATTGTCGCGCCAGGCGCCCGAGTCGTCGCGCGGCGGCAACGCGGGCGGGGCAGCGTTAGGGTGCGTGCCCTTGTATCCCCACGAACAGCGTGCTCGCGCTACTCCTTGGCATCGCTCGGACGTGTGTATTTTCCCTTCGGCGAGGACTATCGAGGAGCATCCTTGATCATTCGGCGAAAAAAAACACGCACGAAACTGAACAAAAAACACAGGGAATGGACGTCCGAGCGATGGCCAGACTCGGCCAAGGCGGGGCACCACCAGTGCCGATGGTGCAGGGTGCCCTGTGCGCCGCCACACTGCAGGCAGTAAGAGTGGTCGGCGTGCGCGCACCGGTGAAGCCCCTTCTGCGAGCAGTGCGCCCCGCGCGCGGCGGTCCGAAGCGCAGCGCGAGCCAGTGGCTCCAGCACCCAGCGCTGGGCCTTCAGACCCGGCTGCAGCAGACCACGCATCGGCGCTCGCCAGTCCCTGGCGGGGCTCTTGTGGCCTGGCCAGGGGTCGTAGGCGTGACCTCGACACGGCCCGACCGTGGTGGCCAACCAGGGGCCTCGCAGTCCTGTAGGGCAAGCCACTTCACGACCGACGGTGCAGTTTGACGAAGGTCGAGCACTTTCAGGAGGGAAAAAAACACACAGACACAATCAATCTTCGATTCCCCAGAACATCTGGCAAACTATTGGAAGTGGGGGGGAAGACAAGAACCCAGAACATATGGGAACACATGGCGAACAATTTTATTTCTGTGTATTCATTTGTGTGTTCCAGGGCCCCTTCACACTTCGCATCCACGCGTGCGCACTGCAGAGGCCGAAGAGCAGATCCGGCCCAACTCGGCCAGCGACCTCCAGAAGACGCCCGCGGGGCCCGTCGTGTTCCTCCGGCTTGCTTCGGGTGGTGTGGCTGCAGTCCTCGTGAGCTGCGACCGCCAGGCAGTCCGCATGACCACGGGAAGGCCCAGGCCCCGCAGGGTGTCGCAGAGCAGCTGGGCGGTGTCAGCCGACATCTGCAGCAGGTTGCGCTGCTGGGACATGACCTACAGCGTGAGGTCGTCGGCGAACATGTGCAGCGTGAGGGTGACACCCACGGGGGGGTTCAGATGCGTGGGCCTGACCAGGTCCACGAAAGCGTCCATGGAGAAGATCGTGAGCAGCTGGACCAGCGCCATCGGGAACTTGCAGCCTGGCAATTCACCCTGTTTTGCCACAGCTGCGTACGAAGTGTCCTGGGGCCTTGAGAGCGACCGAAGTGTTGGAGGAGGATGAGGGGGAGGGAGGTGGAGCAGAAGGAGTGGGAGACACCGATCCTCCTACCAGGACAAGGCCCTGGGTGAGTGGCTGTCGGTGATGAGCAAGCTCTTGCGCATGCTGCGCAGCACGGCTGTTGCGAACATCACCATCACATCGGTGCCCTCCCCCCCCGGGTCCTCGATTGGGGGAGGGCGCAACCGTAGAGGACGCGGGCGAGGGTAGGAAGGAGGAGGGAAAGAGGAGGATGAAGGTGGACGGATGATGGGAGATGGAGGTAGAGGAGAGGCGGGGGGTCCGGAGGCGGAGGAGATGAGGAGGCGGGGAAGGACGCGCCGGAGAAGGAATCGACAGCGGGGGTGCAGGGAGCAGGGTGCCGAGACGCGGGGGCGGGCTTTGGAGGGGGGAAAGGAGGAAGAGGAGGCGGAGAGGGAGGAGGAGGAGGAGAATGAGGAAGAGGAGGAGGAGGAGGAGGAGGAGGAGGAGGAGGAACAGGAGGAGGTGGAACAGGAGGAGGAGGAGGAGGAAGAGGAGGAGGAGGAGGAGGGGGAAGAGGAGGAGGAGGAGGAGGAGCAGGAGGAGTGGAGGAGGCTCCCCCACGGGAGACGGGAGGGTGTTGGGCTGCCGTCGGCTGACGGGGGGGGGCGCCCGTGGCCCCCCCCCGGGCTCGGCGATGGGTTCAGATCCCAACCAGACGCGTGAGATCCCAACCGGACGGTTCAGATCCCAACCGTCTAAAACACCAGGCACGGTCAGATCCCAACCCTTGAAATGTCACCATGCTTGTTCATTGCTATCGGAGATTGCGATAAACAACTTACAGGAGCAGATTTACGCCTGAGTTATTGCGGTTGGGATCTCGCGCGTTTTTTGCTGGATCGTAGTAGTGGTAGAGTAGTAGTAGTGGTAGTAGTAGTAGTAGTAGTAGTAGTAGTAGTAGTAGTAGTAGTAGTAGTAGTAGTAGTAGTAGTAGTAGTAGTAGTAGGCGTAGTAGTAATAGTAGTAGTAGTAGTAGTAGTAGTAGTAGTAGTAGTAGTAGTAGTAGTAGTAGTAGTAGTAGTAGTAGTAGTAGTAGTAGTAGTAGTAGTAGTAGTAGTAGTAGTAGTAGTAGTAGTAGTAGTAGTAGTAGTAGTAGTAGTAAGTAGTAGTAGTAGTAGTAGTAGTAGTAGTAGTAGTAGTAGTAGTAGTAGTAGTAGTAGTAGTAGTAGTAGTAGTAGTAGTAGTAGTAGTAGTAGTAGTAGTAGTAGTAGTAGTAGTAGTAGTAGTAGTAGTAGTCGTAGTAGTAGTAGTAGTAGTAGTAGTAGAGTAGTAGTAGTAGTATAGTATGTAGTAGTAGTAGTAGTAGTAGTAGTAGTAGTAGTAGTAGTTAGTAGTAGTAGTAGTAGTAGTAGTAGTAGTAGTAGTAGTTGTTTGTTGTTGTTGTTTGTTGTTGTTGTTGTGTTGTTGTTGTTGTTGTTGTGTTGTGATGTTGTTGATGTTGTTGTTTTGTTGTTGTTGTGTGGTGTTGTTGTGTTGTTGTGTTGCTGCTGCTGCTGCTGTGCTGTGCTGTTTGTTGTTGTTGTTGTTGTTGTTGTTGTTGTTGTTGTTGTTGTTGAACATTATTACTTCTAAAGAATAATTATTGTTGGGACCCCTGGTGCATGGCCCCCCCGCCGCGCCTAGGCCGCAGCCACATTTTCATCATTTTCGTGAGGAAGTCTCAGGCAAAACGGGTTGGTCCGGATCCGGTTGTGTTGTTACGATCGGTTTTCCCTTGCAAAAAAAGCTATAAGTGGACATTTCTTGTTCTAACATAATCAAATTTCAAGAATCCCTTGCAAAAAATAAGGTAAAGTGGACATTCGCGCGCGCAAGACGAAATCCTTCCAAAACCTTAGTGTTCGTAGCGATTTTAACATAAAAACATCAAAAAACCAATGGTTTTTCAAAAAAAAAATGTCAAAATTTCATCCCGCGCGCTCTTGCGGATTCGTAGGAAACCCAACACTTTTTAAACATTTCTGTCAAACGGGCTTTTGCGAGCAACTTTTTCGAACTTCTGCAACAACGGTTGCGCACCTGCCAGGGCCATCATCCCTGTCAAATAATACCATGCGGGACACATTCGTTTTTTCTTCGCGCGCGCACGCCGTCGTCGTCGGCCGCGGGGCCCTGAATAGTAGCCACGGTCGTCCGCATGCCACGAAGTGAAGTGTCCGAACGTCATAGGGCGGGAAGCTGGGTGTGGGTGGTGGCGAAGAGTCGTTTGGAAATTTGGTAGAGCTTGAACCGGCCCCCCCACAAAGTGGGGGTATTGCCCGCCTCCTATGAAAACCCTGGCACTGGTGAGAACGGAGTGTCCCCACGTGCTAGTAATTGTTGTTGTTGTTGTTGTTGTTGTTGTTGTTGTTGTTGTTGTTGTTGTTGTTGTTGTTGTTGTTGTTGTTGAACACTATTACTTCTAAAGAATTATTATTGTTGGACCCCCTGGTGCACGCCCCCCGCCCAAAACCTAGGCCGCAGCTACATTTTCATCATTTTTCTGCGAAAGCTTCAGAAAAGTGGATTACCCCCGGATCCGGTTTTTTGTTGACGCTCGTTTTCCCTTGCAAAAAACAATAGAAAATGAAAATTCTTGTTCTTAGTTGATCAAATTTCAAGAATCCCTTGCAAAAAATAAGGTAAAGTGGACATTCGCGCTCGCAAGACGAAATCCTTCCAAAACCTTAGGTTTCGTAACGATTTTAACATAAAAACATCAAAAACCCAATGGTTTTTTAAGAAAAAATTGTCAAAATGTCCTTCCGCGCGCTCTTGCGGATTCATAGGAAATACACCACTTTTTAAACATTTCTGTCAAAAGGGTCTTTGCGTGCTACTTCTTCCTTTCTCGCTTCTCTCCTTTCCTCCTTGTCCTGCTCCTCCCCCTCTTCCGCCTTGGAGCCGTATTGGAACTGTCGATGGCCATCTCCCTTTCTCCCTCGCATGTCTGCTTGTACATACGTATAATTTCAGAACTTACCGTGCATGCGATCGTTTACAACATGGTGGACCGTGCGTATGTCACGAACCTTGTATACATGTGTTTCTCTCCCTCCGTCTGGCTGTGCACGCGCGCGTTGGGCACTGAGAGTTAGGATCATAGCGCCATGAGTCTATGAGCAATGCATGCGTCATCCTTGGGACTGTATAACATCAGTGTAACACATGTACTTCTGTAATCGCATCCCCACGAATTTGCCCCAAAAATGTGACCAACTATCTTGGCACTGCGTACCATCTCACGTGTACCGTGTACCACATCATATGTAACAGATGTGATCAACCTCTGTGGGTGTGTACCCCACGCCAGTGTAGTAGCCAGGGTCGTCCGCACGCCACGAAGTGAAGTGTCCCAACGTCATAGGGCGGGAAGCTGGGTGTGGGTGGTCTCGAAGAGTCGTTTGGATATTTGGTAGAGCTTGAACGGCCCCCCCACGAAGTGGGGGTATTGGCTGGTGTCGCAAGAAAACCCTGGCACTGGGGAGAACACTGAGCGTTCGGGTAAAATGATTGTTGTTGTTGTTGTTGGTGTTGTAGTAGTAGTAGTAGTAGTAGTAGTAGTAGTAGTAAAACTTGTGGAGTGATCTCTCAGAATCTCTCAGAATCTTTCAGAATCTCTCAGAATCCTTCAGAATCTTTCAGAATCTCTCAGAAACTCTCAGAATCTTTCAGAATCTATCAGAATCTCTCATATTCTCTCCGAATCTTTCAGAATCTATCAGAATCTCTCAGGATCTCTCAGAATCCTTCAGAATCTTCCAGAATCTTTCAGACTCTATCAAAATCTTGCAGAATCTTTCAGAAACTCTCAGATTTTTTCAGAAACTCTCAGAATCTCTCAGAATCTTTCAGAATCTCTCAGAATCTCTCAGAATCCTTCAGGATCTTTCAGAATCTCTCAGAATCTTTCAGAATCTCTCAGAATCTTTCAGAATCTCTCAGAATCTGTCAGAATCTCTCAGAATCTTACAGAATCTTTCAGAATCTCTCAGAATCACTCAGAATCCTTCAGAATCTCTCAGAGGCTCGCAGTGGCTCTCAGATCTTTGCAGAGGTTGGAGCTGTTCAGAGGCTCCAAAGTGGTTGGGATCTCACGCGTCCCACGTGTCCTTGACGGTTGGGATCTGAACCGTCCGGTTGGGATCTCACGCGTCCGGTTGGGATCTGAATATTTCTCCCCGGGTTCGGGGGAGCGGGGGGGCGGCTGCAGGAGGCCAGGGCCTGGCTCTCCCTTCGGCCGTCGGGCCTTGAGTCGGGCGTGTCCCCCTACCAGGAGAATTGTCAACGAAAAATACAGAGTGCCCCAAAAATAATCCACAAATACATAAACATCGTCCAGGGATTTGTTTTGGAGTATTTTTTTGCATATATATATATATATATATATGTATATATGTATATATGTATATATGTATTTATGTATATATATATAAAACAAACGTCGACAATTCCCTTGTAGGGGGACACGCCCGACGTAATGCAAGAGGCCAGGGCCTGGCGCTCCCTTCGGCCGTCTGGCCCCGTCCAGCGTCAACGCGAGGATCGGGCATCGGTCAGGAGGGAAAAAACACACAGACACAATGAACCGTCGATTCCCCAGGAAGTATGGGAAAATATGGGAAGTGGGGGGGAAAACGAAAACCCCCAAAATGTAGGAAAACATTGGGAGTTGCTTCACTTGTGTGTATTTATTTGTGTGTCCTGGGGCCCCTTCAATCGGGTAGCGTGGCCGACGCATGTTTTCGACGCTGACCCGGCCCACATTCGACGCGGATTCGACGCCTCGGCGACCTGCGGCATGGACTGGGCGCGGAGGCGATGCGGACAGCGGCGCGACGGGTCAGACCAGGACCCTCGAACATGCACAGCACGTCGTGGGGCGGGGGCTGCGAGGCATGATTGGATTGGCGGGAGGGCCCGCCGATTGATGCCTCCGTCACCGCCTGCGCGTGTATTGTCGGACCGAGGTATAAGATCGAGGTTGGTTCGGGGAGGGCGCCCTGATGTTCTTCGTGCTCGTTGGATGTTCTTGTTCGTCCGGGGTGAAGGCACCCTCGAATGCTCGTCAAGGTTGGCCGGCGGAGGATCGCATGTCCTTGGAGGATGCTCGTCTGTTCCAGGTCTGGCCGTAAGTGGCTCCGTCCTGAAGCATTTCATAGGCAGCGTGCCGCGCAGATGTCCAGTCCACGTGTCAGGAGGGACAGACACGCAGACACAATTCATCGTGGATTCCCCAGAAGACAT